GTGTGTGTGTGTGTGTGTGTGTGTGTGTGTGTGTGTGTGTGTGTGTGACAGATCTGGTCCTGAAGCAGGACTGGCTTCTAGTGGCTGTGTTACAGGCTGGGACTTTTGCGTGAGGGCACAAAGAGCTTCCACCTCTGTGCTTGCTTCCTGTCCTGTCCCCGCACAGCCACTCCTAAAACCAGGTGGAGAAGTCCTACTTTAACGTCCTGCCAAACCAGATGCTGAGCTTCCCCCATACCCATCTGTCCCCAGGTTTGGACCATGGCCTCCTGAGGGATGGATCTATAGTATATAGTATCTCACAGAGTAAATGCTGGCTGTTATCAGGGAGAGCTAAGGGCTCCTCTCCCACACCACTAAAAAGGAAGCACACAGCAGGAGTCTTCCCAGGACTCGTCACATCTCCATGCCTCAGTTTCCTCACTGGAAGTGAGTGTGAGAGCCTTTTCATAGGGCTAAGGAAGGGACACTATAGCTCCCTGTTTCTGACAGTCTCAGTGGCTGCTCAGGGCCCATTCACCGGGCTCCCTCCTCTGTGCTGTCTCTTACTGCACACTAGCTCTTGACCCCTCAGATGGGGTCACTCAATGACTATGATTTGAGAAAACAAGAAGCTGAGATCCACTTACATCCTCGCTGCTCATTCCAGCAACGGAAAGCAGTTCCCACAAGGACTCCACAGCACGTATGTCGGGGAAGCGGACACATGGAGTGAGAGGGAGGCCTGGGGCAGGAAAGAGGAGGCAGCAGGGTGGGGGCAGATGGTTGAGGTCAGGGAGGGTAAAGCAGGAGGCTGTAGGAGGCTGGGATTAAGAACATTGGGGTAAAAGAGCTGGTATAGAAGGCCTAGGGCAAGCAGGTTGGGGCAGGAGGCTGGGACAGGTGGGCAGGGACACTCTGTCTGCCCTACACTGGCTCCTAGGATTTCACAGGGAATTAAGCAAGTGACTGTCCTCAGACCTCTGTTTGTAGGAGGGGCTAAGCTGGGAGGAGTAAGGAGAGGAAGAAGAAAAGGAACAGGAGGAGCTAGAGGCAGCAGAGATGTAGGAGGATGAAGAGCCACGCAGGTATGGAGAACAGTCGCAGGTAACAACTTATATTTAGGTTAGCTAATTGGGAAACAGCTCTAATTGTATTGGCATATCGTTATTGAGCTTTACCAAACATATAAAGCCTTTGATTAATATTTAAGCATCAGAGTCTCATTTTCCTACTGGACCTGCATGGATGGCGGGATGGTCTGGGCAATGCCCAGCCTTGTGGAGACAGTGTAGAAGATTGGCAGAGCCATCTCCCATGCTGGTATCTCATGGGTGGCAGGGCTGGTGTTTCTGGCTGGCCATTTCTAGCTGCAGCACGCATGTAGCCTCTGGTTGAGGAACATGGTGGCTGAGCTAGGCAGAGCCGCCATAGCTTAAATAGTGGGCTTGACTAGCGGCCGTTTTAAATAATTACTTCAACATCTGTTGACCTCTTTCTCCTGTTTGTCCTAGGTCCCTCTGATGCCAACCCCTGGAGCTATTTACTAAATAATCATCTGCTTATCCTCAAATCCTGTCTTAGTTCAATTTTGTCAGGAACCTCTGCCAAGCACAGGGAGCCCACAACAGTCAGAGCCGAGCCAATATATGGTTGAGGGTACCACGAAGAACCCCTGAGGGGTCAGCCAGCAAGGACTGAGCCCCGGGCTGAGGGACCCAGTTCTGATTAGCCACCTCTTTACCATGGGATCTGGGAACACTGGCTTACCCTGGAAACCTTGCCTAATCCCCAGAGTGAAGAAGGAGCTGCATTGGTGAGATCCAGCTCCGAAGCCCTGGGTGTAGAATCAGAGCCTTGGCTGGACCTCTGATCCACTACAGCTGGGTGCTCTCCTCAACCTTGATTTGTCTGTGAGTGGTATAGTGATTCTGGAGACACAGCTGCTATGAGGAACAAGCAACAGTGCCTTAAAATATCAGGCACCGGGACACAAGGCAATTTTTTAAAGACCATCTGAATACAAGGAGAGACATAGAGAAAAGCTGTCAGCAATGTGTGTGTTATCGAGACCAAAGCGTCAAATGTAGGTCATGACCCCATATGGGGCTGAATAATTGAACATGCTTTATAAAGACTTGGTAACATTTGGAGTCTTCTGAACAGGCCATAGCTAAAGACTTCAGAGTCAAATGTGTCACAAATCCCATATGTTCCTTGCAGAGCCGGCCCATGAGGTATCATGTGTCCACTGCAGCCTTGGTTCACACACACACGTGCTTAATTACAGAAAACAGGGACTTCT